CCCAAGCATGATGTCCCTCTCCAAGGACCCGTCCCTCCTGGCAACATGTCCAAAGTATGTCAGACGAAGCCCCAGAATCCTTGCCTCCAAGGACTTATTAAAACCTCACAAGGCTGTATGAGAAGGAGCTTCATAACTGCTTATCACTAGAAAGATTGTGATTCAAAATTAACATGGCATTCTTTTTTCCTCTCTTCTCCTAGGAGCTCACTAGGTATACATTAGAGGACTTATTTTATTAACAAATATCAGTCAGGCATCTGACTGTTGAATGTTGACCCAGGAAAATAAGACACACACACACAAACCTGCAGTGTTGTGTTAAGGATACTGGACTTTAGCTCCTTGATTGAAAGTATTACTACAGCAAAGAGCTGACCTGCAAGATGAATTGTTGAGATAAAGTGTTATCGTGATGATGTGTACCTTTACGAGTAGGACGTAACTCTGAATTTATGATGTTTACCTTTTAAAAAGTCGAACCTACTGTGAATTTCATAGTGTATAGCTTTCAGCTGGAAGCTGCAGCATGAACTCATGGTATCTGCCTTGGTTTCTGCCTTTTGCAGTACTTCTGGTGGTTTCTGGCTTGGTAAGGAAATAATACAAGACAAATAGCAAAACATAGGGTAGTTGATACTGGTTGGTAAAGGACAAATTGCTTTTTAATTTTTAAAAGAATTTTACTGTGTTAGTGACACGGGTGTTTCTTTTTGGTGAGAGGGATGACTGGGTAGAGAGAGTGTGAAGTAGAGTCAGGGTATTGACAGGGAGTTTTTTTTTTTTAATAATTTCTTTGTTATGTAGCATGGTTTATTTTGATAAGATAGAAAAGGTGAGATTTGAAAATCATTCCAATTCTACCACCGAATGATATGAAGACAGTTGGAATAGCAACTTGATGCATGAATGTGGGGACAGATGATGAGTGTCACATGCAGTGTAAATATTCCTGTAGTTTTGTACCAGGAGTCTTCTCTGTCATCATTTTAGACCACTCTTTCTACAATGGCAGGCACTTTGTATGATGAAACCCCAAAATTTTAAATGATGTTTCAAATATGTATGGGAATACCTTTAGATTTTAAAATGAACTGATATTGCATAAACAAAAACTGTAGAATTGAGGAGAAAGGATACAATTTGTTAAAATTGTACTTAATGTGTTAAAATTGTAATGATGGACACCGTTTGATAACACTTTATTCAGGACGTGGCAGTGGCATATCTTAGAAGTGTGCACCTGTGTCTCTATGGAGTTAAAGTGAGAGACAATGAGGGCACTTGTTAACATCAGAAAGGATGGTAACGTTCCAACTAGTCCATTTACACACAACTCATGAAACTCTCCAAATGATTCTAGTACTTAGATACTTGAATAAAATTGTGTCTTACATGTACATGGCATTTTACTGACATTGACAAAGTATCTTCTATATTATATCCTGTAACCCTTATAATATTAATGCAAATAGAACCCATAGAAATCCAGACATTGAACTAAAATTTACTATCTATTGGCCATATAAGCTT